AAAACATATTTACTATTTGATCTGATGCTTGAATATTCAATGCATGGGTGAGGGGCCTCCCTAACAATCTAAGCTTGAATGATCTATTAGAGTTAGAAAACAACTAGTTAATTAGTTCGGTTGGTTGGGTTTAAGCTAAATTGGTTTTACTTGATGGAAAAATATCACTATAAATATCAACCAATGGAAGACATTTGATCTCAATAAGAAACAAAAAGATACTGATCCTTTTATTATTTGGTCGTAAATTGATGTTTAGACTGTTGGGTTCTTTGATTTTTCTATCAATGTTTTTTTCTGATAAATAACCTAGTTCTTTGATTCATTTGGTTGTCCTAGATGGTTTAGCAATAATATGGTGCTGGTAGTGTTTATTAAGTTGAGATGTATTTACCTTTGCCACCAAGCTTAACATAGTTAAACTCTTGTATTTAGCTTTTAAGAAAGGAACCTTTTGTATTTTAGATTTTGTATGTTGTGACATTCCATTTTATTTGTCAATTAATTTTCTACTTGTTACTTTAAAGTTGGTCTTCTTTGTTTCTAGAAGTTGACTATATTTTCAATTTACTAGTTAATTTCTCAGTTTTTGTCCATTTTATAAGCATGCATTTGAATGGCTGGCAATAAGGATAAGTTCATAGTAGTCTTATCAGTAAGTTTTGTGGACGGTTGTATATTTTTAGTGGTCATATAAGATTGAAACATTGAATTGTGCTCTTGTCATCTGATATGAGGAGTATCTAAACTAGTCAGTTGTGTAAATTGCATTAAATACATTATCCAATTCTGGTCCCACCTATTTGGGTGGGGAGTGGATTAGATATGCATCTAACTTCCAACATTTCTTCTACAAGAAGTGTCTGCTCTCTGTCTCAAACTCATGTTCTCATATTTGTCAGCTTATGATTTTTCCTCTTTGATTGCATTATATTAGGGAAAATCTTTTCCATATCATATCGGGTGAGATGGACCAATCACCTTCGACTTTCTGGTTCGATGAATACAGGGTATCACAGGTAACCGGTTTCAACAACAATTAAAATCACATTTCAAAAAAAGAAATTCATTTCAAATAATAAAGATGTTAACGTCTTTCCGTTCGTTCTTCCTCCTTGGATGAATCTCTTCCACAGTCGTCTCTTTCTCTCTCTTACTCAAACTTCACATCACCAGCGAGGATGGAACCAGTGGCGGCATCTAACCACCGGTAAATCTCTATCTCCTCTTTCTCTGTCTTTCTCTCCTTCTCTCTCGGTATTCGATATCATATTTGATTTTCTTTATGTTCTCCATGGACGACACCAACCGGCAACGACAAACACATTTCTAGGTGTTATCTCATTCGCTGGACACTGTTATTAGATCCATCTTCTCTACATTTGTGTATATGTTGGAGTGGGAATGACGAGTCTTGTTTTCTTGTAGGTGGCTTGTGGGCCATATTGACAGACCAGAATAAGTGCTGGAGTGACAGAACTTGCAGCAGGGATCTACACAACGAGGTATTGGTGGAATTAATGAAAAAGAAACTTGGAATACATGTATATTTGTAGGTTGATTTTTGATTCTTAGGGTTGCTTTTTGGCAGCTTGGAAATGAATTCCATTGCTTGTTTAATGTCAATTTCATGCAGTTGTCAAACTTCAATTCATACTTTGTTAATGTGCAGTAAGTTTACAGAACAGAAATTCATTAGTACCTATACCCTTCAGGATGAAACTTGTCATGATCAAATACTGAGTAGTTTAAGTGCCCATTTATTCAGCTAAAACTGTTTGAACCTGATATCAAAGGGCAAAACTTCTTAAGAATGAATTAGCCACTGATCTTTAGGCCAAAAAACGTATTGTAATTTTTTTTCAGAGCAAATTTGTTCCCTTGAAGTTCGACTAGAAGAGGGAGCTTGAAGAAGTTGACCAGAAGAGGGAACTCGAAGGAGAAGTTCGACCAGAAGAGGGAGCTCGAAGAAGTTGACCAGAAGAGGGAACTCGAAGGATATAAAAATGGGTAACGGAAGATTAGAGATTAACAGATAGGTTAAAGTGTTAAATTTTAATTAACATATAAAAAATATAATTACCGGTTACTTACATAACTCAGGTAACTGCTGTATACGTGGCAGTAGCAGAGGTTTTAGATATGATATGGTTTTCCATATCGTAGTCGAACCCATTATATTAACAGGTTGGAAATTTTTCAAGCTGGTTAGTTTGATAATTTAACCATTTTAAACTGGATTTCTAGAACCCATCACTCTATCCAAGAACAAAATGGGGGAACTACTAGTATGTGACTAAATCTACACCTATTTTGGTATGGTGGTGACTCAGAAACTAACCAACATATTTACAAGAAAGCAAGTACGAGAAATAAAACTTGGGAGTTCTACTGAAGCTACTACTATTTGTGATCTCAGTCCTTGGTGCTTTAAAAAAGGACCTACATGCATATTGTAGGACCTTTATTGGGTCAAAGAAAAAGGCTCCATTAGTTTGCCCAGAAAGTAAGTGAAGAAACTTTTGAAACAAGTGTTTAGTTGGTCTAACAAAGTAGGTCTGGCCCATTATAGGATTTTCTTGGGTCCTAAAATTTTCCTTTAAATGATGGTTATGTTTCCCTCAAGAACTATCTTTAGTTAAAACAAACTTTAGTGCAGATTGCAACATGGGTAAGTAGGGCCCAACAACAATCGATTCTTAAATTATTTATGAAAAATTATTCTCTTTCATTTTCTATCTTTTCTAATCTTGTTTTACTTTCTTATATTTCATTGGCAACCAAATGGAGCCACAAAAAGCACACATTTAATTGGAATAATTTAGATAAGTTGTCAAGACTTACATAAGTGTCTCCACATTTTTTGTTAGGAACATTCAACAAGTTAAGTTTATTCCTTGAATACCTAACACTTGAAGAAATAAAAGAAAAGAAAAAAAAAACAATTAACAATTTTAACATTCAATATAGAATTCTTAAAGGATAAAAACAAATCCACATGGAATATCAGATCGTGTGCTAATATTAAAAGAATTCATCAATTGAGGGGATTGACTTTTAATCACTTTGCAGAATAACATCAAGTTTATATTACACAATTAATAATTAGATTTTCATACATGATTTTATATCTCTAAAATTGTGTTTTCTAACTTATTTTCTATTATTTTTTTTATAGGTTGAACATGCTAAAGGAGATACTCACACGTGGATGGAGCGAGATAAATTTGATCAAATTATATACGTCAAGCTTTTGTGGATTTAGTTTTATGTATTCAAGATCCATAAATTGTAATTTTTCTTTTGGTTTTTAGAACCTTAAATTGTAATATATTTTAAACCCATGGATGTATTAAAGAACGTTGAGATGCAATTCATTTTTTCCATTATATAATCTTTTATTGGAAATTTGCTTTCAAGTTCCATCTTATATTATGAATGAAATAAGTTGTGTTTGCATTTGATACATGGAATAAGGCCTCAAAAAAGTAATAAATAAAATTTCAGGATCTAGCCATTAACCATAGATTAACAATTTTAGTTACAGACAGTGAAAAACCGTAGCTATAGATTCATATTTTGCTACAGATTGCTGAAACTGTAGCTATAGGTTTTTATTTTTTTTAGATAGGTTTATATTCAAATTAAACTGTAGCTATAGTTTCACATTTGTAGTGATATTTAGCTACGGTCAAAACCGTAGCTATAGGTTAGTTTTAGCTATGGATTCTATCATTCGTAGCTATTACCTATAGCCACCGCAGCTATTGCTATTATTTTTTGACCGTAGCTAGGCCGTGACTATTGACCTATAGCTATGGTTTTTTGCATTTATAACTACGGTTTTATTCGTAGCTATATGCCTGTTTTCTTGTTGAGCAGAAAAAAGATGACCGTAAGTGAGATGGTGAGAGAGTTCTCTCTCTCTTTATTTATTTTTTTTTTAATTTTTCAATCACCCAACATTAAAGGGTAATTTCAATATAAGCTTTTTTGTTGTATCCAACATGGATTAAGAGTCCCATGTTGGAAACAACCACATAAGCTTCTGATGACATGGCGAGGGTTTTTATAATTTGAAATCTAGAGCTAATTGTTAGATTTATGTTGGTTTATGGACTAAGTTGTAGCTTAATTTTAAATGTACAACTGATTTTGACTATAATTTTCCCTAATTTAAAGTGAATCCAAAAATATTTAAATTTATTTTTAATCATATTGTTACTTTTGATAATTTTCAATTTCTATCTTAACTATAATATATCTAAAATTCAAGTAATTAATATGAAGAAGATTTTTTCACGTGTAACTCATGTGCTTAATTACTAGTTCCCTCAAATGGGGGAATGCAGGAATGAGAATGGAATTTCAATTCTATTCAATCAAACAGTGGGAATAAAAATGACCCATTTTGATTCCGATTCCAAACTCATATTCTTGCAAACCAAGCAGATCCTTAGATCGGATTAGACAGACCAACAAGACATAAAATTTGACAAATACAGGCTTAATGGTCCAAAGTATTTATTGGATTCAATTGGCCCGTTCCATCCATAATATTAGATTGGGTCGGATTGAACCAACATATATACCATTGATAGAAGATAAGAATACCGACTTCAATGGACCAGGTTTGGGTTGGAAGTAGCAAATCTAAATTAAAACCAATTCGAAGAGACTGGACTGTTCAAACATTGAATTGGGTCGGTGTCGGTCCAAAATGGTCTAAAGTATTCATAGGATTGGATTGGACCCGGTCCATCTGGAATAGATTCAAACTGTACCAAATCGGATTGGACCAAATCCGGTCCAATTGACACCCGTAGATGACCTTGGTCCGTTTTGCATTTCCATCGATACAACCGACTTCCGACGTAGATGGTGGTCCGCTTCCAACGGGAGTCTACGGTCGTCCTCGCTTGTCGCTTGCCGAGGTCTGATAATAGTTAAAATCCCATTACGAACGTACCTCTCCTACATAGCAAGAACAGGAAGGGAAATCGAAGGAGAAAGAAAACAACGACCATGAGAGACCTTTCTGCGCATGCGGCATTGGTCTCTCTGTTGTACGCTGTACTCCTGTTTTCCGGAACCTCTGCCCAAAATTCAACCACCTCAGGAGGGTCGACCGAGGGATGGTCTGCTGTGCATTTGATCGACGATGCGATAATACCTCAGCCCAGCTCCAGATCGGCCGACCGTGTCTTCGCTTTACCCGGGCAGCCTAAGCGCGGCATAGTTGTACAATACGCCGGTTATGTCACCGTCAGTGCTGCGGCCGGTCGGGCCTTTTTCTATTACTTCTCAGAGGGCCCGATTTCTATCAACCAGTCATTGTTCATCTGGTTCAATGGAGGTAATTAATTAATTAGTTTACCCTTGGTCGTTCAGAAGAAACTCTGTTTAATGGTTTTAAGCGGTGTAGGTCCTGGGTGTTCTTCATTTGGAAATGGAGCTATGCTGGAACATGGACCTTTTAGCGTGGGTTTGGATGGGATGTCTCTTCAACCAAATAAATTTTCCTGGAGCAAAGGTTTGTTTGATTCAGTGGCACCTTTTGTCTTCGTGTCAAGCTTCCAAATTCTCTGAAATTACTCTGAGAAAAATGATCAAACATAAGGTGGAACCGGAAATTGTTTGCATTTGCAGTTGCGAGTGTCCTTTACGTAGACTCGCCTGTTGGAGCCGGCTTCTCATATTCCAACAGTTCTTCTGATTACGAGACATACTCCGACGAACTTACTGCAATCGACAACTACAAGTTCTTATTAAACTGGCTAGAGCGCTTCCCTGAATACAAGACCAGAGACGTATATCTTGCTGGGGAGGGCTATGCCGGGCATTACGTGCTGCAGCTCGCTCAGATGATCTTAGCCCACAATGCAGCAGGCAAATATACCAACATCACCCTCAAAGGGCTAGCCGTGAGCACTCTCTGCACCTACATCTTCCCTCTAATTAAGCCCAGAAAGAAAAGCTGCTGACTTTATGCATTTCATTCATAAATGCAGCTGGGAAATGCGATTTTAGACGAGGAAGCTCTTAATCGAGGAGTCGATCATTATCTGGCAAGCCATGGCTACATTTCTTACCGGAGCTACCAGGCTTGCTATTCAAACGGGTCATCGAGTGATTGCTCTCTGCTGGCCCAAGCTAAGGATAAAACCCTTCGATCCATATACCCATATGACATCACAGCTCATGTCTGCAAAGTCACGAGCATCCCCATAGACCTCTCTCAGGTACACAACTCTCTGCACTCTGCTCCCTCCTCTCTCTCTCTCTCTCTCTCTCTCTCTCTCTCTATCTCTCTCTCCCAAACTGTTTGATGAAAAGAGAGAGAATTTATTTGTTCATATATTTCTGTTGGTAGTCTGCAAATGGTCTATACGAATGTGATGTGCAACGCTTGGTCTCGTACCTCAATCTTCCAGATGTGAAGGCAGCTCTCCATGTGAACTCTGCGGTTTCGTCCAAGGCCTGGACCAAATGCAACGAGTAATAAAACTAGTTTAATTTCTGTCTGAATCTCACGTTCTTCTCAGTTCTCAGAGATGAATTACAGTCATTTGAGTCATAACTCGCCTTTTTCTTTCTGTTGATTTGTAATCAGGAACATTTCTAAAGCGTACCAGAACACCAGCTCAAGCATGTTACCCGCCCTTCGGGGAGTTGTATCTGCCGGACTCCAAGTTCTGCTTTACAGGCGAGAGACTATTACCAAAAAAAACTCAGTGCAAGTGTTTGATTTGTGTTTGTGCTGTGACTAACATTTTTCAACTTATCATTCTGATTTGCAGTGGAGATGCTGATGCTATGGTTCCGGTGTTGTCTACAAGATATGCTTTGAATAAGCTAAATTTGACCTTGTCTTCTAATTTCAACCTCTGGATGAGCAGTCCAATTGAGGTAGTGAGTTGAACCCATTTGCCTTCCGTTTGGATAAGCTCTTGATTTTGAGCTTTGGGGTGTGGAAAACAAAGTTGAGCAAAAAAAAAAGGTGTTTTGAGCTTGAATCGGTGCCACATCAGAACCACATTAGCAAATTTTGAATAATTGATTATTTGGCTGTTTGGTTGGCTGAACATCATCAAATTGAGATCAAATCAGCCCTCTACAACGTCCACAGCACATCCCCGCCGGACTCCGGATGGATTGGACGGCCCAATATGACATATTGTATTGGACCTAGTCCGTCCATAATGAATTTATATTGGATTGAGCCAATATCTGGTCCATTGATAAAAGATAAGAACATAAGTGTCAATGGACTGAACAGATTGGATAGTATCTGGAGCAGTCCAAAATGATCCAAAATATCCAGGTCCATTTGTAACGGCCTCACATTGGGCTGGATTGGATTGGACCAAATCCAGTCCAATTGACACCCCTATGGCGGGGATGCGCTGTGCAACGTTGTGGGGGGCTGATTTGAACTCCATCAAATTAGTCAAAATTTGATTATTAAAAAATCGGACTGAAAAAAATGGAATCATAATTTTTTTTACAAGTTGATTCTTTTTGGAAGATATGACATGTGACATAGATATTAGAGATAGTTCCCATAAGGCCCGTTCGCTTTTCGGTAAGTTATTTATCTGGGTAAATGCAATTAGCTGGATAAGTTTTTCCTAGAAAACATTTACTTGGGTAAGTGCATTTACCCATGTTCTTTTATTTCCTAGGTAAATAAGGTAATGACCATTTTAATCATAAAATCCACTATTAAAAGGGGCATTTTTGTCCCATTCAAGTGTTAGCAATATTCCCCCTAGGTGGGAAAGTTATTTACCTATACCCAGGAAAATAAACTTTCACTGGTCCCTACATAAATCTGAAAAATAAACATGGGATTCTGGGTCAATGAGAACTAAAATCCCATGACCAACCTTCCCCTCTCAAAATCCAAAAAAAAAAAAACGCCCCCTAAAAAAAAATCACCACTAATAATCACCGCCAAACAAATTTATACGATATTTCTAAAAAATTGGGTGACATGGCAGCACTGATACCAAACAAACAACTTCTCTGATTTTTGTGAAATCAGTGATCTCATAAATTAGTCATTTATCAGAAAACTGATCAAAGGAATAATAATCAATCTCAAACACCTTCTTAGTTGACATGTCTTGTGACCAGCCTTAGGGGCAAAAGCACAAATCCTGAGTTCTATCAAACACAACCTAAGTTTTAATATTTTGATGTTTTTAACCGTGGTGTTTTTTTTTTTAACTTTTTTATCTTTTATTGTGATTCTGTACAGGTTGCTGGGTACGTGGAAGCATATGAAGAAAATTTATTGAAATTCGCAAGCGTGCTGGGGGCAGGTCATATGACCACCTTGACCCAAGGATCCAAAACGCTGCATCTGATTGGGCGGTTCATCAACGGCACTGTTGTAAATTAATGTAATTTAATCTAATTTTGGCATAGTTTCTGACCAGTGCAACTCTTTTCTGTTTCACCCTTCATGTTCAAAGGTCAATGCTTTAAACCCCAACACCAAAGCTGATTTGCTTTCCCCTCTCACAGTGCAGGGTCATCGGTTCAACCATATACTCCAATTAGTTTAGCCATGTGGTCATGATTAAGAAAAAATCAAAGTTGTGATACAAAACAAAATGACCCATTTAACAACTTATCAAATGATTTAATTATTTGGAACAATAGATTGTTGATTAAGGGTGTGTTTGGCATTTATACTTGCATGAGATAGTCCACCTTAACTAGAAAGGTGCATGCATGGTATTGATTATTGGTATTTGTGATTGAAACATTAGAAATAGCAATCTAAATTCATCAGTTTAAAAGCCAAGATGATCTTGGTCAAAAAGCCAAAAGGGGTTGAGGGTTGAGAGAGAAAGAAGAGGGAGGGGGGAGGCATGCATCAGAGTTTGAATCATGGAAGATGAAAAACACTACACCGCTTCAGATTAATTTTACATCTATGCCCCACAGCATATCTCCGCTGTATATTGGAAATACCTCCCGATGATAGTATCAGAACTGATGATGTTATCATCAAGAGATGTTCCAAATACACGGCGGGGATGTGCTGTGGGGCATTGTGGGGTGGCCCCTTGTAGGGCAAAGATGTGAACTCATCTTTGTCATGGCAACAAAAGAAAATATTAGGGCTGCATTTGGAAAGAGTACAAATCCTATTTCTGTGCATATATACATTTTGATTCAATTTTGCTAGTATTTGCACAATAATGCAATTGTGTATTAACAATGACAGAAAACATAATTTTCATTGCATATTTACACTCGAAATGAGAGGTAAAGCTGCACCGAAAAAAGGAGTAAAGTATTTACACTCAAAGTGACCAATATTAAAAAGGTATATTTCAAATTTTCAATATCAAAATTTGTGTTTGCATCATTACAACTAAAAACTATTTGACAAGAAATAAGTTTATCAATACAAAATTAAACAAACTTTACATTTGTATTGACCAAAATGTACTCTACATATCTGTGTTTAATTCTATTTGCACTGTTTCCAAACGCAACCTAAAGATAGAATAATCTATGGATGCAATTTGGCTGGATTTGTACCCCTACATTAAAACAGGAAATCACAGACAGCTTACAGAAAGAGCGAGGGCGAAAGAAATTGAATGGCACACCGCACATGAGAGGACTGTTGGGGTTAGTTTATCTGGAACACAAGCAAGAAATATAATCCAACCGAGGAAGTTCCTGGAATTGACTCCCCCTTTATAGGCGTTATAAAATTTTGTTAAGTAGTAAGTAATTACTCAACGTGCTCAGCGTATGTGCCTACCTTGATCTTGACTGCACTGCACTCATCAACCACAATCTTCGACAGTGGATTTCCTGCACTACCAATCACTGTGCCGATCATTACTTGTTACGAGGGGATCATGACTCCCCTAGTTACACTGTCCACAGATTCACAGTTGGCATTGGAACCAAAAGCACCGTAGTAGGGTTAAATTGGACTTTAAAGGCTCAGTTTGGAAGGAGTTTAGGGGTGGATTCGAGCCGAGTTGAGCCAAATAATTGGTTATTCGAGCTCGGCTCGCAGGAATAATATCAGGCTTGAGCTTTAGCTCGAGCTCGAGCTCGATTCGAGCTAGAGACTTGAGCTCAAGTTCAGCTCGGTTAATAGCTCGCAAGCTCAAGCTTAGCTCGGCTCAGGCTCAACTATAAGCCAAGTTTTTTTTTTTGAAAAATAAAAATTATATGTATAAAATTATTATTTTTTATTTTCTTAGACAAAAAATTAAGAATTATAAAAATTATTTAATATTATATACAAAAAATAATTATAAAAATTATTTACTATTATACATAAAAAATAAAAATACTATTATATATAATAAAATTATCATGTGTATGTATGTATGTATGTATGTATGTATGTATGTATGTATGTATGTATGTATGTATGTATGTATGTATGTATAATAGAAATTATTTATTTAATACTAGGATCGCGAGCCTTACAAGCTGAGTTTCATTGAGTTCGAGCTCGGATCGATTAGCAAACGAGCCTATATATCGGGCTCGAACTCGACTTGAAGCTCGGTTTAAACTGAGCCGAGTTTGAATAGCTCGTGAAAGGCTCGGCTCGTGGCCACCCTAGAAAGAGTACAAATACAAATATGTACAGTACAAAATACAAGGTTTTGCACTCTACATATTTGGAAGGAGTACAAATACAAATTTGTAGAGTGCAAAACCTTATAGTTTGTATTATTTTATATGTATTTGCACAGTACATATTTGTTTTTGTACTTTTACCAAACTAAGCCTCATGCACATCTGCGTGAGGTTAGTGTGAGGTTGCTCTTTGGGGAGTAAATCTAAATTTGGCTTTCTTTCAAATCTTGGACCGAAGGTAACTCTTACTTGGAATTAGAGATGGTCTATTGATGGCCATCATTTGTATTTTATTTTTGGGAGAATGACGGTTAAGCTCAGAATTTCTAGGCCCAAAGTACAATTGGGGTAGATGCCAGCTCGGAATTGATGCTAATTCACGGGTAGGCATTGGTGTATAGAATGGGGGTATATGACATTTTGAATATTTATAGGTATGTAGTGGAATTAAGAAATCTGCATTGGGCCTGTCCGTACTTTTCCGTTTATTTTTTGGGCTTCATGGTATAGAATTGGATATGGTTCATTTGAAAGAAGAAGAAATCCTCTCTGTCCTAAACATTCCAAACCAAAGGCACTTTTTGACTAATCATAACCCTCCACGAATTTTAATGATAATCCACAGTTATCACTTTTATGATCCCGATTGATTGATCGTAAGTTTTTCAAGTATCATGTCTTTCAAGCATCATAACCCCCACAAAAGCGGAGAGGGTAGGATCGAGGAGGGGGTGCATTTCATGAGTGGAGAGGGTTTGGATTTTGAAAACCCAACTTGCTATGGGTTTTGAGGGGGATATAGGGGTAGGGTCTATAATTTACCCGGAACTTGCTGCATTGCTATCCCTATATATATATACATATAAAATTTACAGAGAAGTACGGACAAGTCCAATGCAGATTTCTGATTTCCACTGCAGAGCTATAAACATCCAAAATACCAAAAACCCCCACTCTACACACCAATGCCTGCTCGTAAATTGGCATCAATTCGAAACTGGCACCCACCCCATGAATTGGCATCATTCTCCCTAAAATTTATTTTATACATTAAATAATATATATTATAGGTCTCATCATAATATTTATATATAAAATATACAATATTATTTTGAGGAATAGAATATAACATAATATAAAATATATACATATGTATAAGTTATCTATAAATTATATAAATTTGTGCGAGCAAGGCTTGAAGCATTAAGCGCCGGCCTGAGCACAAAACCGAGGCCTACGCCCAGAATTTATAGGTCGGGCTGAAAATGATCTCCCCATACAATACCTAGTTCTATCCCTAGTGTAATAGTCTCGTTTTTAAGATCGTCACTAAAGTTGTAATCCTTTGAACACCTCTTTCTGTGGTGATTAAAGTTAATTCGCCTTTTACCCAAATATATAACGATGGGCTTAGGCGCTCAGCCACTATCGACGATGGGCCCTGTTCTGGTTTATCGATAGTGCTAGAATATGCATATTAGAGTATGAAGTTCCTACTTCCACGGTTATTGACAATGACAACGTCTATAAAACGTGAATAGAGCTCATAGTGTTAAGGTCAACAATATATCTTATTAGTCAAACTAGTCTGTTTCTGTTACATGCCTACTAGCATCCAGGGTCCAGGAGTCCCAAGTGCAAATCAGCACATATCCTACCAAGAGAGGAAGCAGATCGAAAGAATGCTACCAAGTATGACGACTTCCAGTTTGCTTCCATGCCATTACCTTTGTGGAAACAAGCTGCACCTGCACGAACTAGATCTAGCATCATCAAATAGAAAAAGTGTATCATCCAAATGGGGAACAAAAACTATCTAGTGGGTTAAACAAAATTGTTTTTTCCTTTCTTGCCTAAAACCCCTCGGTGTAGTTTTTGCGTCAGAAGCTCAATTCTAAACAGTACTAACCGCAAGAAAACATACAAACTTCTTCCACATGCTACAAATGCCAGGCAGGCTCTTTCTGTTCTTTTCTCTGAAAAAACTACTCAACATCTGGGCCCTTGTACAAGCCGCAAATACCTAGTCTGAGTGATTAGACAATCTATTTCTTCTTCTTTGACTTGGACAGCGATTGAGCATATGCAGTTCCCTGACCAGAAAGGGGGGGTGTTACTCCAGAAAGAGAAAATACAGTGGAGAAATGATGATCATGATCTTTGAGAAACCACTCACCTCCAACCATTCGTCCATTGAAGCATCAGTTGTTCCAGTCCCCACTTCAACCTTGGGTGCCCTCTTAGTTTTCTGGGTAATGGAAATAAATGCAAGAAGTTAGATTAATAATGATTTTTCTGTTCAATAATAGAGTAATTCGAACAATTGCATTTGCTAGCATAAAAATAACAAGAACAGCAGAATACAAGAGAGCAAGACCTTGGAAAGCTGCTGAATTCGACCATACATCCACAATCCAAAAAGGCCAAGTAGAGCAAGTCCAAGGGTAACAAGGAAAACAGACTCAACACTGAGAAAACCACCAGCCTCAACAACTTCAATGGTACCATTGTAGAAAGTGCTCTGGAATGGTTGCTGATCTATCTCGTAAACAATTGTACCCACAAGATCAAATGACCCAGGCTGCAAGAAGAGTTAGATAGTAAGAAACTCAGGATTGTTTTCTTCCAATTTTGATTGATATGATGCTTAGGAAGTAGCTGACCCCATATACTTGGGGCAAGGCTTAATTCAGTTGAGTTGTACTGAGACAAAGGGATCAAAAAGCAGCCCTTTGTTATTTTTAACAAACTCATATGCAAAGGAGAAACCAATGGATGATCAAATAACCATTGCTTGAGATGCATTTCAATTACAATGAGGTTATATACCTGCAAGTACTTGTAAACAGAAAATATGTATGGAAAAGTAGCCTGAGCAGAAGATGGAACCGTTGCATTGTTAAAAACCTGAAATCCAGAAAATGTTATATGTTAACAATGAACCCTTTCTAAAAGCAAAAAAAAAAATGCAAAATAAATGATAAAATAGATTACACCTAACATGAAACTAAGAAGAAACCATGTTTGCATACGAACCAGATTATAATAAGGACTTGAAAATATTCACAAGGATGGAAATGCAGGGTCAAGGAGAAAATTCATGAAATATTAAGTAGAAATACTCAATGCTTAACCAATTTCTACAAGACAACTATTCAAAACAAAAGAAAAAGAAAAAACGAAAGTATAACTAAAACAAGAAGAAATGCCTAATTATCAAAAAAAAAAAAAGTAATACCTCTCTTAGAAGTAGATCATGATTAAGCATCGCATACATACAACAAAGTTTTAATTGTAGCATCCCTATGTTTCCTGGGTCCATGAACAAAGAACTTGTAATTGTCTAGGCCCCTAAAACACAGAACTTGTTGCATGGCCAGAAGATCAGGACCCATCACTAGATTAGTCTCACCTGATAGAGGATAAGGTCATTTACCTAATGTTGGTTCCAGCTATCTGGGTTCTTGGGAAGGGGTGGAGAAGTGCAGACCTAACCTTGAGCTTTTTTTCTTAGTTGGCACAAAGTGACTGTTCTCAGACTTGAACTAGTGTTCTCATGCTAGTCAGCATAGTGGTATCATTTACAACCTTCTAAGTTGGAGAATTCTCTGGTGGGGTTTTTAAGAGTTCTAGTAGAAATTTTCTCCACCTTTCAGTTGTATGTGGCGAAAATATATAGTCATGATCATGTTACAACTTACAAGCATGTTTTTGGTCCCAGTAGATATTTATGGTGGGACACATTGAATGGAGGGCTCCGATCCTCTGATTATATGGTTCATGGAAAGCAATGTGGTCAGAGCACTTTACGGGTCATGTGAACTCATAGCAAGTTTTTTTCCTATATGTAAAATAAATCAGTTGCATGAAAGGCATCATCTACATCCTAAAATACAGCTACCAATCAATTAAAAAAAAAAGAAAACCAATCTGAAAAAAACCAAAGCTGAAGTGAGTACCCAGGTGTAGATTGTTAGTTGAGTCAGTGATTTAAAAGGCGCGCCTAGGCGCATAGGCGAGGCACATTTTAGGGTAGGCACCCTGCCTAGATCCTAGGCGCAGCACTTTCAAAAGGCGCACACCTGGTGCGCCTGATGCGCCTTGCGCCTTGGCCCATGCGTGCACCTTTTGAAAACTGTATATTTTTTTTACTTTTTTTTGAACCTACCATCTGGGCCGGGGGCTCTACCCCTGGACCCCGACCACGCCCCTCGAGGCAAGCCCAAACAGGTCCATGTTTGGGTCTGAAATTCTTAATTCTCACACAAAAAATAATGATTTTATAATTTTATTTGCCTTTTAAGAAGATGTTTTATTAAGATGAATGAATGAACAACATCAGCAAATAGGGGGTTGCCTCGAGGGGTGTGGCACAAAGGCGACTTGTAGAATTAGGAATGTAATATGTTTTACATCACATTAGCTACTTGAAGTAGTGCAATTGAGAAAAAAAAGAGATTGCGGGTTTTACATGCTTGAAAATGCTTTATATGTTTAATTTTCATTTGAATATGCTTTCCATGTTATGGTTATGTATTTTAATTTTAGATAATAGGTTTTTTGGACCATTAATTTTAAAATTTAAGTTTATATTTCTTATCAATATTATGTTTAATATTTTTTTGAATATTTTGCCTTTATCTTATCAAGGCGCATGCCTCGCCTTGCTTCAAATTGGCCCTTGCGCCTTTATTGTGCCTTGCACTTTTAAAACACTGAGTTGAGTCAAAGGAAGATTCATCAACACTTCATACATGCTACTGCATCTGACACCTACAAGCTCACTACCATTCCATGGCAATGGCAGAGGATACATACCAAGATGCAAAGTTAACATCAAGTACCCCATTCCATGCATGCTAGAACATGAACACCTTTCTTTGAGTAATAACCTTAACAAGAAAAAAAAGTACTACTTACAATGGAAAAACAGAAATAAAAGTACTATTCAAAAAATAAGATAAAATGCTAGACCAGTCCTACAAAGGCATATGCTAAAAGACAATGTTTTCCATACACCATCGCATTAGCAGGGTTGCAAAACAGCTAAGCTATCTGCTAGTAATGCTTTAACAAATGATTTCATACATATAACCTATTTACAATGCTCTAACAGATAAACGATACCACCAGGGACAAACTAAGGTGTCGTTCGCAAGTCTTTTTTGAAAGATCTTCTGGAAGATTTAACAGCCAAAAGACGTAGTGAGCTTTTACATGACGATCTTGGCAGCCCAAAGATCGTTTGGTTGGAGGTGCATTTTTCCGCGTGAAGACAAGACTTGAGCAAGCGGGAAAAAAGGCGAAAAGCTCCATTCCTAGCTTTCCGAATATAGCCCGAATCGGGCTTCTCGCGTCTTTTGGTGGAAAGATCTTCCCCCCAACCAAATGGGAAATCAAAAGACAAAAATGCGATCTTCCAGGCTTCTAAAGCCGACAGTCCACGCAGAAAGATGCGCCAAACTGGGCCTAAATTATCAATGAGCCAACAATAACTGTCTATAATATGCTCAAAATTTTAGCATGTTATGCAACTATAAATAAAAGATTTTCAGATATGAAAATTCACCTAACATCAAATTATATACAAGTTTCCATTGGCAGATATTATTTGCAAAGTAGACAAAAAAACATGTTTTGTTTTATTGGTAGCATTTCAATTGTGACAGACTAACAGTAATCTTCCCCTCTTGCATTAAATTTACTAGTATGACAGCCCATCCCCTTGATTTATATTTCCCCAAAACAGCTGGTTTCTTTCTACTCCTTGTCTATCCAATATGCCTGCCACATTGTTTGATGACCTCTTCACCTGCTTAGCCATTGCTATTAACCCCATCATAAGCTTTTTACCACTTTCAATATATAACTATACTGTCATCTGCCTGAATCTATTATTTTGACCCAATCTATTATGATTCCAGAGTCTCCTACTATCATGTCTTTGTAATTTTCAGCTTTTTCCAACTTCAAACCTTGAAGTACAGGTACTATCAATAGCTTGCCTTAATCGAGTTTCCATACACTATAGGTCCTGAGTAGAGTGCCATTATGTGTCCCAAATGGTTTCTAAAAACTTCATAAATTCCCGAATCCTCTGGATTGCCCCTGCTGCATCAATCAAATTTAGTGTAATTTGGTTCTTTTCCAGCAGTGTCTAACGTATCACCAAATGAATGAGAGATAATTCTCATAATCCAAAAATTATAAATCACTTAGAAATATATGGCATATGCTCCTTCTGTTCCTGGAAAAATCATTTGGTAGCACTATCTGAACATATTGTTACTGTGATATCTAAAAATGTAAAATCGATCTCTAACAGAAAACATGAATCCTCCATAAAATGTTAAGAGAAAGGAGGTGGATATGAATAGCCATCAACTGAAAGAAGAGGTACTTGTTGCTGATACCTCTTGGTTCACCAACAGCAAAATCAATTAAAACAGCAAAAAAAATTATTTTTTTACAAATTACATATATATATATATATATATACACACACACACACAATATACAATCCATGATCAAGAGGAAACCTTTAGTCTGTGCATACAGTTAATTTAAGAGAAAAATCGTGTAATGTGATGCAATAAAAAGAAATAACAAAGCAAAAGGAACAAATGAATATTTTAGAAATTATTACAGTGTTTCTGAATTGAAATCGTTGTATTAAAATTTAAAATACTATGGTGCTACGATGGATTTATATACCAGCCAGTATTGAAGCAATAATCTACTAGGAAGTTCAGCACTAAAACAACTTCACAAATAATAAAGATCAGCTAGATTTCAATGGCTTCAAAGTTCAAACTGATTAAATACAAATCAAACCTTGCATGACATAATATTATGCCATGCATGCACAGAACCAGACCCAGTGACCAAGGAATTTTTCAATTTCCAAGCAAAGAAACTACCCAGCCATAAGTAATTAAGACATCTAACAATGCTGCAAATCCTCAAACTATTAAATATCCACTGAACAGTACCTACAAGATATTTTGACTCCCTTAATAATGAACTTGTAGCCCTCATTTTGTGCCTGAATACAAACTTTGACCTCTTAAGACTGCTCCGTTAGTCCACTTAAATATTCTAGATAAAAAAAGTCTGATAAAATTCCCAAAGAACTCTGAATTTCCTAGAGTAAAAGGCAATAATTTGTTGTCCTCTTTTACATTTCACAAACTTTTCAAGATATATTTTGTCATGTGAGGATGCTTGACATTAAAATGAATGAGATGTCACATTAATATAGTTAGGATCATTTGCTCACAGAAAACTTAGAAGGATTACCATAAGGTCCTTAGAAATTAAGTAACATCACTATTTGCTACCGTGCTGGAATGTGTCGGAGGAAATAATATAAAGGTCAGTGGAAGTTAACCTGGTTGCATCATGTGTAAGTTTTTAAATCCATGGAGTCTCATTCCTAGTCACTTCTAGCCTGGTACAGGTAAGCTCATACAGTAGAGTGTTGATGTTATATGATTGGGAAACAAAATGCACTTATTCATTATTCTCGCATATATCCTCAAATAAAGGATGATTTTTTAAAAGAACATTTTGCAGCGTATATCTATAACTTACCATCTGCACTACATCAATAAGTCATATAATAACTCTAGAAATATGATTTTTTTAATCCAAATATACACAGACATAGAGAGCAAATTTACACTTTGCAGCTCTAAAATATACTATACTTTAATGAGTTACTTCAACAGTTACCAGACGCACTTGTAAGAGGCACAAAAAACAGAAATATATAGCCACTTTCACTGAGTCACTAAGGGGCCCTTTGACAACAGCTGAACCAAAAAGTTTATTGCCTTGTCTTTTAGTGAATAAGTTTTTAAGGATGCTGTTGGCTCTAATGGCTTATGGCTGAAGTTGAAGTTCGGCAGATTAGTATACCCTTCATTATTTTATTATTTAATTATTTTATCCACTAAAAGATAAACCAATAAGTCCTTTTAAGTTCAGCAACTTCAGTTGTTATCAAACAGCCCCCAAGTCTACATGTTTAATTAAGTTCATCTACCATCAATATCTTAAGCAGAAAAAAAAAAGTTTCAGAACATGAAAATCAGATTGATGACCTGTAAATACAATAGGCATGCATAAAACAAATAAAAGTCATATAAGGTTACCTGTGCAGTGAGGTTTTGGACCAGCAGCCGATGATCAAAAGGAAGATGAACGCTAGCCTTAATGGCAATGATATTCAAACTTGATTCGCCTGTATTTTTCATCCAGACAGAAGTCATTGAGTTAAGTTGTGGATACAGCTACAGTTTGTTCAATGTTGAAAGATGAAAGGGACCATAAAAACCAGCACTGTGAGCAGGGAAGATACAACAGAAGTTGAAACTACAAATTGGCTAACACAAATGAAACTTTACCTTCATTGTTAACTCCAACTAGTAGTTCAGTTTCTTCCCCTGCAGGAACCACTGCAGAGCACAAAGGAAACTTAAGGAGGAAGATAAAATGTAAAAACAAAAGAAAATGAAAGGAATCAAGTTAGAAACTATCATCCTCAATAGATGAAATCCTTACAACGTGCTGTATTTTTGGGGAAAACACAGACGGTATCAACTCCCGGAGCTGGATTAAAGTTCCCATCACCATAAACTTGGACATCATCACCAACAATCCCAAGATCATCCCCTTCAGCAACTTCAGCTACTTCGACTTCGGAGTCAGATTGGCACCTAGAAACTGTCCAGGGAAACGAAGAGGAAGTAATAACGATGGTCAGATAAATCCACCTATAATATGTAAACAGAAAATCAGTAGACGATATGTGCTTCAATTGGTTCCAAAGTACAATCTACATTAAATCATGCAAGCACCAGATATCAAAATAAAAGAAAATCTACTCGACTTGTCTATCAAGAAACCATAGACCCCAAAACATAAATGGAACCGCATCAACAACAAGCGCGAACCGACCATATAAATGTAGAAACGTTATAGGAACTCGATCGACACAATAACTAGAGGAATTTAAGCAATGACCTTCATTAAAAGGCAGAGAAAAAATGGAAATGAACCAATTTGAGTGACAATTGCCGAGCAGCTAATATAATAATTAGAAATGGATATGCAAGTCGCCGTTGATAAATCTCACAAAAATTCATACCAATGGTCAAGTAAATCTAAAACCGATCGAAATCTGAGAAAAGCATGTCACATTTCGGATTACTGCATGCAGAATTCGGACGCGACTGAAACAAATTCTAAAGAACATAAGGTGGACAGATCCGAAAATTAAAGCTTCCTCAGCGTAAAAATGAAATCCAAAATTCAAGGAAAATGAAGCAGGTCCAGATCTGAAAATTAAAAAACAAGAGATAAGGAAAAAAATATACCTTGGAGGAAGGGAGATGCAAGGAGGAGAAGAGCGAACAAGAAAACCCTAATTGCCATTGGAGCGCGTCTGAAATGAGTTCACGAGCCCTCGATCTGGCGCACGATAAGAATAAATTGAAAACTCAGTGTTTTCAAAGTTTTCAACCCATTGTTGTTGAAAATTCAGTGTTTTTAATCCGCCGTTGACTCGGACGATTGAACCATTCGAACCGTCGTTCGATCAAAATTCCGGGTCCGGTTGATCAGGTCAAAAATCCGGAAATTGTTAATTTTATGCTTTTTATATTGGTAGAGGGGATTGGTAGGGTGTCAATTGTATTTGAGATTTGACGTAATTGAATTGAATTCAGATAATTTAAATATCTAATTGGTTGAGTGTCAATTGACAACCTAGTGTCCGAATTTTCAATTTGCGATAATTTGATACCCGATGTTAAATTCCCATCAGTTAAAGGACTCACGTGATATCAGGTGCGGGTTAAAATTTTCAAAATGCCAAAATTACCCTTTACGAAAATATAAGGACCTTTTCTCTTCATTCTGGGTTTAATGAACAAAAGAGAAGAGAGCCGACCTTCCTCTTCATTCCTAGCACTTCCATTCCATAGTACCCATACCTTGAAAACTCACATACCAAAGCGGTACATAGATCTGAACTGATTCCATGAAGGTTTTTCTCCAGTTGTGTTTCCGTTTTATTATCCTTTTATTCCTAATTTTCTTGAATGAAAATGAACCTATCGTCTCTCGTCGACATCCAGCTTACCCTGTAACGAACACTAGATAAGATGGTTGGAAGGTCAAAGAGAGGGGAAGAGACGCACATTTAGGAATAGAGAGTCATTGTGAGAGAAAGAGGGCGATGGAGACGGAGCGCCTGCTATCTCGCCTATATGGAGGAACCAATGCGCATCTTAGGCGGCAAGGCTTCTTTCCTTCGGATGCCAAGGAGGAGACGAGATGGTTTGGTGCCATAGAATGAAGGAATGTGGCATTGGAGAGGCCATTAAGGTGAACGCTGGTCGGAGTCATTGCCATGTCGAAAGAACATGACAACCGTTCCGGTTAGCTCTGCTCTATATGCTATTCTAAAATATGGTCGAGGATAGCGGTAAGCCGAGGTGTCATCGGGAAGAGATAGACAAGTGTCTTATCCGTTTATAGCCGGTCGCTCCGCTTTTTCCAGTTCAATTGTTCAGGTTCCACTAGTTGATTATAGTCGGTCGCGTGGTTGTTAAAGTAAATAAACATACCCTGGTTGTCTCTTCCGGCGCCGACAACAAGTCGTATTCTCCAGCAACGGCTGAGTAAGTAGTGGGCGCAATAATGTTCCAGCGACGAGCAACAAGAGTTGTCCTTCGGCAATGGTACTGGATTCTTTGACTTCGACTTTTCCGGCATCGTATACAATCGTCGAAATTGGCTTTTCCGACGACGCATTCGCTTGACACCACCGGTGTGAGGGAGTTGGTTTTTGGATTCTCTATAAATGCAAGTATGAATAGTGGTTCCCACTTGCATTGGTCGAAATAGATGATGGGTTATTTTTCGTAATTTTAATCAGTAATTCATTCATTATTCGAATCAACGGGGGTATTTAGGACTTATTATCTTTTAACTAACGGAAATTTAATATCGGGTACCAAATTGTCGCAAATTGAAAGTTCGGGTATTAGATTGTCGCGATTTAAAGTACGGATACTAAATTGACACTCGGCCTAAAGTATAGGGCACCTATCGGGAAATTTCCCTAATTTATATAAACTATATAAATAATTTATATATTTATATGCTTTAAATAAAATATTTATTTTATATATTTATTAATTACCTAAAATAATTCTGAATTTAGATATTACGTAATTTGATTCGAACTTTGATCCATTTACACTCGTAGGAGTAGGGGAAAAATTAAGGAAAGTTGCATGAATCAACCAATCCTCTGCTTTATTTGCTTCCCGATAGGCACATTGCTTTATTTGCATGAATCAACCGATACGTATCATATTGGGGGCTTTTCAATACGTTCGTATAAGGAGTGTTTTCGGGGTTTAACCTGATTAAGGGGATAGACAGTCCATAAACCTATAACCCCCCTCCCCCCCCCCCCCCAAAAAAAAAAAAAAAAAAAAAAAAAAACAAAAGACAGGCCTTAATAATCTTCTACTCTCTCACACATCAGTCTTCCCCCCACACACAATATTGAGCGCTTGGTAGAAGGTGCTTTTAAAGTCAATATAATCTTGTTAGGATTAAACTCTAAATTATCGATTAATTAGTATGGCAAACAAGAAAAATAATTGAGGAATATGTGAATTATAAAACAAATAATAAGAGCAAAAGAAAGGTAAAGATGGCACCAGATTATGTGGTTCGGTCAAAGAGACCTACATCCACAGGAGAAGAAAGAAAACATGTTTATTCATGTCCTTGATGAGAGAACTACAAATTGACCACCTTACTAGTGCCAAAATGCCTTTAACAAAGCCTTGAAGCACTCAAAAAAAAGGGCATAGATGACTGCTTTGAGTTGGTGTGAGAGAAACCCTTAATGGCAGCAGTGAAGAAGAAGAACGATCCAAACAGAGTAGGAGC